ATGTGCCAGCCACTGAGACAGCCACAGAGCAGTGGATAGAAACACAGGTTCTTAGGTTAGCTGTCCTGGATTCAAATTTGAATCCCGATAGTTCCCAGTGTGTGGCTTTGGCAGATCATTCAATCTCCCTGTAGCTCAGGCCCATCTGTAAAATGGGAAGAATACTACTTCATAGATGGAAGGAGTTAATATATACAACGTGCTCAGAAACTTTCCAGCCGAAGTGTTTTTAGGAAAAAAAAATCAGTGTGAGCCACACATTGGGGTCTGAGCAGCAGGTCCACATCCTCTGTTCCTAAATCACATCTGCAGGATCATTTCTGAGGAGAGGCTCGCTGTCCCACATCACCCAACCAGGCACCAGGCCACTCTCTGGCCGCCCACGATTTGGTGGCTTTGAGAACATGGCCTGATGTGCCTAATATCATGCCCACTATAGGAGAGCTGCCTTGGTATCCAAGATGGCTTCACCATCAGGAATTTCCAGCTGGAAATGCCATTCCAAAGGGCTTGAGGTGGAAATCCATGTCCAAGCAAGAAATGATAATAAGCCCAGATCACTTAGTGATCTGATGTGTCACTTTAACACTTATGAAGCTCTTCATCACATGCACTGCTATTTATCTCCTCATCAGCCTGGTGTTATTCTTCCCAGCCATTATTATGTCCAGTTAACAGCTGAGCTTAATCTACCTCCCTGAGGTCTCATGGTAAGTAAATGGAGAGATCAGCGTTCAAATGCAGGCTTGAGCCCATTCCTGATGATGGCACTGTACTATGTAAATGGGCAAATGTTTCCTTGACTGTGATCCTCAAAACAGAGCAAGAAGGCTGTGGGGGTTCATTTTATGCATCAACTTGGGAGGGCCACAGTGCCCAGATATCTGGTCAAACATTATTCTACATGTTCCTGTAAGTGTGTTTGGATGGGATTACATTGGTGGACTCTAAGTAAACAGATTGCTCTTCATGTGGCGGGTGGGCCTCATCCAATCAGTTGAAGGCCTGAATCAAACCAAAGACTAACCTCTCCCTTGCAAGAGGTAATTCCTTCAGCAGATGGCCTTCAGGCTTGAACTACAGCATCGGCTCTTTCCACAGTTGGAAGGCGCACGGCATGGGCCTGGGTACAGCGCAGCCTTGTAAGTTGATGAGCCATGTGACCTTGGACGTGACTCTTCTGGGCTCCCATCGCTTTTTACACCAAGTGGAGGCAGTAGTATCTCCAATATCCCATTAGATATAGGATCAAATGGGAAAATGCATGCCAAGCACCTGGCCCACTGCCCGCACATTAATCACTGACAGTTGTTTTATCATTATCATCAAGAAAAAATGAGCTAAACAAGTGAATTTGGAGATTGTTCCTGAAGCTTCAGAGCCAAAATTCTGCAAGAGGATGGCCGTATCAGGAGAGATGAAAAAGATTTGGCCTCTAGCGGAGAGGAGGGTGGCGTAAGAGGGCCCGCGTGTGCTGAGGTGGCTGCCTGAAAGGAGGGGAAGCAGGGTCTCTCTGGACTGTGATGGTGCAGGGACAACAGAGCACTTGAGGAAATTAAAAGGAAAAAAAATCTAAAAAGCATGCAAGGAAATATGTATGTACACGCCAGGTCATTGGTCTGTGGAACCCCTGATCGCAAGTCATGATTCAGGTGGATCAGGTGCATGGAGAGTGACAGCACAGTTTGGTTCTGCCACTCCTCTTGGCATCTAGTGGCCCAGGCAGTTTATAGAAGATCTACCCAAATGCAGACACATGGGCAGCTCTGTACACAGTTATAGGCAGTCACAAACTCAAGCAGCATCACCATCCACCACTTCTATCAGAGGAAGACCCTTAGGAGGTGACATGCCAACTGCCTGGCATCAGAAAGAAAAGGACTCTCAATGCCTAAGGCAGAAGGCAGAAGTTAGCCTGGATCCAGGATGTCCACCCTGTGGGTACAGCGTGAAAAGGGTATCATGGATATTTCTGTAATGTAACTGGTGGTGATGATGACAAGGTATGAACAATATGGCAATAACATTTAGCATCACCACCCTGTCCTCCAAGCTCAGAGTAGAGGGAGACAAATGGCTACGAAAACTAGAGTAGTCCAAAGCCCCAGCTACTTGGGACAGAGCCATCTGACAAGAGAAGACCACATCTCCCGTGGGTAGCAAGGGAACTGGGCAGAAGGCCCTTCAAGGATCTACAGCTGCTTGAGCTGAACTTCCGACACTAATTGGACTTCTACTCCAAAGGCGGACTTCTACTCCAAAGGCAGACTTCTACTCCAAAGCCGGCACAGTATTCCAGACAGAGAAAGTGACATGAACAAAGCACAGAGGTGGGAACAGGCTTAGTCCCTCCAGTGGATAGTAAGGAATGAAGATTTGTTGATGACAGGGAAGCAACGGGCACAGGAGGGAAGATGAGCACTGAGGCCATAGGTAGGTAGGGCTGAGACTAAGGTCGCCAACACTGCGTCACACACTGGGATGAGTTTCAGTTGCATGGACATCCTTGGCACCCTTATTAAAAAGCAGAAAAGAAGTCTATCCCCTGAGCTTATTCCATGGTCTTTGAGACCTTCCCAGCTTCACGGAAGCATGTCCCATCAGCAAGACCATCAGTAGAAAATTCTCCCAACACAATGGAGAATGATGTTTCAGGTAGTCACGTGTGGAGAGGTTAGGAAGGAGTCCACGAAAGGGGGTGGTGACAGGGAGAGCCACGTGATCTCCAGCCAGCTGTCTTTGTACATCATGGATAAATTTGTGAAAGACTAAATATTGGCTAAGTCTACGACCGAGAAAGCAATGGCCAAAAACACACACCATGCCTCGGCGAGTCTTCATATTTAAGTAAAAATTTCCTTCTTGAAATCAAAAGCTTATCCGCTGACCCTGGTTCTGAACATAAATGCAATCTTAGTGGACCATCTACAAATTTGTAAAATCAAAATGCTTCCCCATTTACTAGTCATCATATTTAAGGCCAAAGCCTGACTCAAAGTGCCATGGGGATTAAAGGCAAAATGGAAGCACTGTTCATTCATCTGTGGATCATGCAGATATCAGCTTGACCACTGGCAGTAATATATATGAGATCCACAAAGAATGAACTTGGGGATTAGAGGAAATCAATAGATCTATTGTTTATACCAGTGTGCTTGATACAGCTTGTATTAGGATGAGTAGGGTTAGCTGCTAAAATAAACAAACCCCAATACCTCAGTGGTCTAACCCAATAGGCTTTTCTCTCTTGTTCAGGTAAAATTTCTTTCTAGTTCTAGTGTTTGGAGGCAGGAGGAAGAATCTTCTGAGTCTTCTCCATTTATCCAACAGATGGGGAGAGAGAGCAAGGGTCACACGTTAAGAGTTTTTCATGGGCCAGATCTACAAGAGATGTATGAACACGATCTTCCGGCCAGAACTCAGTCATACATCTCCATCTAACAGCACAAAAGACAGGGAGACGTGGTCCAGCAGTGTGCCCAAGAATAAGATGAGAGCACGGATGTTGGTGAGCATGAGCAGTCTTTGCCAGATAGCTTCATACCCCTCAAATCAAACTTTTAAAAATACATTTATAAAAGAGCAATAAATATTTTGTAAAAGCTTTTGTTTTCATTCCTGTTCCAACGCAAAATTATTTCTTTTCCAAGCTGGTTGAGACGTGTTTCCCCCACTCTCCAAAGTCACTCATCCATGACCATGTGCCCCTGGAGACTTAACATAGGCTATAAATCAACAAATTCTGCTATAAAACCTTGTGCAGAGAAAATGCTCATGTGCAGTGAGAGAACGTGCCGACAAATGGGGTCAGCCTGTTTCCAAGACATGTCCCACTCCGCGTTCATGGTCCTCAGCAACCCTAGAAATGCAGGAATATGCCCAACTTCCCCCCTATCTTTACGTAATTGTCCTAAGCTGGATAGAATCTACCAACTCTCGGACTGTAATGGCTTTACTTCAGTCAAATTAGCTGTTGGTCAAAGAAATCAATTCTTTTGCCGTCTGCTTAGCGAGAGCCAGAGCCGCTGCCTGGCCGGGTCAGGAGTGTTAATATGCACACTGGACCAAAGCTGTGACCCAAGCCACCGCTGCTACTCGCTGGGCAAACAGATGATGCAGACAACCATCCCTCTGACCTGGCCATTTCTCACACAGCAGGAGTGACCCCATCATTCTCCACTGTGGCTTCTTAGGGTCTACTTAGATGAAGACACATTACCATGTTCTAGCCATGTGACAGCTGAGAGAGGGAGGGCGAAGCCTGCGTGATTATGGCTAATCATTGTCTGCCTGTCCCTAGGTAGTTGATACTTATCAATGAATTGCACCAAATGTGGTGTAAAATCCCAGATAATTAACTGTGAACTGGGTATAACTTCTCTGGGCCATTTCATTCATATTTTAGAGGGAAGGCACGGGTAAACAATTTAAACTGCCATGTTTACACCACCACCGAATTTGGTAAGTGAGCATTTCTTTGTCTCTCGCAGAAGGTAAATTTGAAAGAGACACGCAATTCACATCCCGCAAAAAGCAAGGCTCAAACCAACAGGGCAGGGGAAAATTTATTTTTTTTCCCCTTTTCTCCTTAGCCAAAGTTATTATCACAACTGCCGGGGAATTTGTGAGATTGGGAGATAAGGATCTTAATGATTCTTTGGAGACCCGTCAATCACCGCAAACTGCTACCAGAATCGAAATTACATCTGCATTTGAATTAGCAACATTACTCGCCAATTTAGATCAGAGTGAACATTTTTCCATTGAAGATGGAATTAAATTAGAAAGTGAGTGAGTCTTTAATTTCCACATTATAAATCACCGAAAATAATTCAACTCCTGTACCTTAAGGCCAATTACATTATCCTAAGCGACATTTTATCTCCCAACCTTCGAAGTGATTTGGTGTTGGGAGCCTTCACACAAATCAGTCTTGCTCTCGCAGCAAGAAATATATCTGCCCACCGAGTCACACACATAAAACACCAGGAACCGTTTTAATGCCGAAGCTTATTTTATATGAAATTTGATTGTCTGTTTGATAGTGTATTTTGTGTTCTAATGAACTGATGCATTAGCCAGATACGGGTTCTGAATTATGTCAGGTTCAACAATGAGATTTTAAAATGACTGACTTGTTCCAGGTTGGGGCATCTTCGTCCCTTTCACCATCTCCTCCCCCTTTGGCCCTACAAAAGACAAAGGTATTGTGGATATTTGCAGGTCTGAACATTCTCCCTCTCAGCCCTTGGTGCTCACCTGGGTTACTGTCTGATGTCTACAAGCCCATCTCTCCCCAGACTGTGAGTTCCCCTTGTACTAATGCCCGAATCCATCCCGCAAAGTGACTGGTTCAGAGTAGATGTTCATTAAGTATTTGGTGCAAAAAGGATTGAATGGATGCATGACATCTGGTCCTTTGCACCTGGCACCGATCAAATGGCCACCATAGAGACTAAACAAACAGATAAACAGGCCACCCGCCCACCCCACCACCACCTTCCCCAGCACCACCGCCAGGGACAACCAGAAAGCCAGGGAGGGGCCCCTTTCACTAGCAGGGTTGAATTTCCTTGAGTTAACCAGCCTAAACAAAGATCAAGGAGTCTCCCTAATAAGCCACAAGCCTTGACCATCACCTGAGAAAGCACACTTGACCCAGAAAACTTCTGAGCCCCTGATGCAGCGATGGAGCAAGGGAAGGAAAGGAAAAGCAAGGAGTTAGGAGGCGGGGCAAGTGTTGTAACTATTTGGACCTTCTGACAAGTGTTCTGTTCTTAAGATGCAGAGCGGTGGTGGGGATGTCCACTCACTCGACCTGGCCAGGTGGACGAGGCCTCAGTTGGCTCTGGCCCACGGTACAGGCCTGGGGAGTCACTGCGAGCCTCGGACCTCACTTCCCCAGGTCTAGAGTGAGAGGTTAAGCCACTAGATCTGATGGATAGAGAGCTTCCCGCCAGTCAGGCTCTGGGATTATTTAAATAATCCTCGGTTCTCCCCATCACCACAGAGCAGATTCTGACTCGGCCCTCTCTGACCGTCTGTGTGGCCTGGGCAACTGCCCCTCTGGACCTCGGCCTTCCCATCCACAAAATGGGGGGCCCGAATGTGGACTTGAATTTCTGGGAGTAGGGTTTGAGGAAGAATTAATTAAACGAGAACCCAGAAGGCCCCAAGTGAGCTCAGGCTGGCCCCACCCGGAAACAAGACAGAGAACAAAGCCCTCTCTCTGGCTCTGGGGCTCAGGGCCCTCACACTTGGTACAACAGCAACAATGGAAAGCTGCTCCCCATATGAGGGAAGGAAGTCCCGCTGTGTAGCCCGGCCTCCCAGAGGCTGCTCCCTCCACCTGCCTGGCAGCCCTAAACCCCTAGGCCTGGCCCCGTGATACCCCCACTCATTTTCTCTGCCCCGGCAGAACCAGACACCAGGTCCTCGGGCCACGGCGTGAGGGTGTCTGGCATCAGACCAAGTCACAGGTGGGGCGTGATGCACGTCAGCCTGCAAGCCCAGGCCCCCAGGGTGGCATCTGGGACGGGGAGCCTTCTTTCCCATTCGCTCGCGTCCCACATGGAGTAGGTGGTCACCAGCAAAGGGACACGTGTCCAGGATGAGTGTTGTCAGAGTCAGAAAAAAAAATCAACCCTTTGTCCAGGGCACCTGTCTCACGGGGATTTAGGGGTCTTGCAGATGTACCCAGGTGAGGAAGAAGAGCCGAGGGTGGTCGCTCTGGGCTCCCCCATCACCCAGCACACATACCTCTCAACCTCATGAGCTTTGCTTCTTCAGTCTCTGTACTCGGGTTCTTGGTAAACTCTCCTTTGAAGTCAGGGTTCTGCTGCTCAAATAAAGCATTTTGTTCAAGTGTGCAATTGACCGGCTGGGTCCAACTTGGTCAAATATGACAGGGAAATGGGGCCAGCCCAAGGAAACCCTGCAAGTTCATGACAGAGCTTGGACCAGGAGCCAGGAGCCAGACTCCCTCCTCACACCTATTCAAAGATGACCCAACGACAGCCACCCCCTCTGGATTGTCACCTCATATGACTGGGTACACTGTCTACACTGTCTTTATGGGTAAGCTCACAACAGCTCTATGAGGTAGTAGCTATCTCATGATACCCATTTTACAGATGGAAAAGTTGAATGTTAAGTAACTTTCCCAAGGTCTCCCAGCCAGTGAGTGCCAGAGGTGGGATTTGAGTGCGGGCAGTGGCGCTCCAGAGTCCACACCTATAGCAGCCGAGTTGCCCTTACAGCCCCTACCCTCACAAGGCCGGCAGCCTGGCCCTTGCCCTCCCCTTACTGGGGCTTTTTTAGTTTCCATGAAGTCGAACAGGCTGAGGCTCTAGAATCTTCTGGATTTGGAGCCTGAGGTATATTTGGCAAGGGTTTGGTTTTTTAAAAAGATTTCATTTATCTATTCGGCAGAGAGAGAACACAAGCAGGGGGAGCGGCAGAGGGAGAGGGAGAAGCAGGCTTCCCACCGCGCAGGGAGCCCGACCTGGGGCTCAATCCCAGGACCCTGGGATCATGACCTGAACCCTTCTTGGTCTCCCTTACTGTAACCCGATGAAAAATTCCTACGTGCACACACACGCACACACATGCACAATTCCACGGGAGCATCTTTATGAGAAGATTCTGACATGTTCTCTGCCCTAGAAAAAGACAAAACTTAGCGTGACAAGATTCACATGTGTCAGACCTGAAACACCCGGGAAGGAGACATGGTGGCCAAACTGCCCCCTCGGACACTTGTCAAGGGAGGGAATAGTGGAGTCCCGGGGTTGCAGGAATGCGGGGAAATGCGGAAAGTGGGAGCAGGGGGTCCTGAGCCTCAGTTTTGCAGTCATCGGTAGAATGAGCACAAGAACAGTATTTACTGAAAAGATCAGACGAGGTGACGTTCAGAAACACTTCCCCACCCAGCACGTGGTCTCCCCCAGAGCTCTGTCTCTCCCACTCTCTCTCCTCTCTCTCTGTCTCTCTGTCTCTGCTTCCTGACCCAGTCCTCAGAAGTCTGAGTGACAGAGCAGCAAAATGACTGACCTCCCACCAAGCAGGCCTTTCCAGGACCGCCTCCCCTCGGCCCAGGCCTCTCAGCCCCCGGCAGCCCCCTCCCAGCAGGGACCGGCCCAGGACATGAGCCTCCCTGTGCCCTTGGAGCTCAGGGTATCCCTGCTGCCCCTGACCCTGAGTCGGCACCCCGGCCCTGCTCCGGCCTCCGCGCTGCCCACGCTTCTGCTCCCCCAGACGACTTGCAAACCTCTCTGGTTTCCCAGACGTGGTGATCCCGCCGAGGGACGGAACCGTGTGCACACACCCTCCCCAAGGAAATCCCAGCGGGGCTCCTCCTTCACAATGCCAGGGTCCAGCCAGGCTCAGGGCTGCAAGAGGCAGGCAGCTCCAGGGAAAAGGAGTGTGGCAGCAGGTGTGCAAGAAAGCAGGGAATGCTGGTTCCATTTATTTCAGTAACGGCCACCAAAGATGCTGTGCTTTGGACTCTGGTGGCAAAGCTGAGCCCAACAGGGAGGAGAAAGCTCTTCACCCTCCCCAGGCACTGACAGGACAGCCTCGCTGGCCACCAGCCCAGAGCCTGGCCCTGCTCCCAGTCCTCTGCCTACATATCAGATTGAACCTCACACAGGCTCCTGTGATCGGGATCATGCCCATTTTACAGATGGGGACACTGAGGCTCAGAAAGACTAAGTGGCTCGCCAAGATCATTTAGCAAATAAGTGGCAAGGCCAACACTCAAAGCCAGGACAGACTGTTTACAGTGGCCATCCTCCCAAAAGTCACAAGGCTGGACGAGCCCCCGCTGCCTCTCCAAGTGGCCCCCAGCCCGCCCTTCGCTCACTGGTCAGCTGAGCCCTCGATGCAAATAACCAGACTCCCAATGCCCAGCAAACGGGGAGGGCCAGTGAAATCTGGAATCGGCTGCTGTGACAACCACAGCTGGCTTCACAAGGGGGAGGGGCCACAGGGACATGGTGGGCCATGGAATGACCTGGGTCAGCTGGTGACCCAGGTCCAGGGCAAGCAACACCTCCCTCTTCTCATCCTTCCGAGGCAGTCTGCAGTGCTCCCCTGGCCAGGAAGGTGGTGCTTGTCCCTTAGGCCCACCTCCCCAAGCAAACAGCAGGGAGGACCCCGGGCTGGCCTGAGGGGAAGCCTATGAGGCCCTGAGCGCTTCTGTAAGCCAATGGTGCCCATGTTCAGGGACGTCACAGCCCAAATCCCCTTGGGCTGGAAGTTAGCAAACCGACTCAGAAAGGAAGGTGCACTCTGGAGCCGGGGAGGCTGCTCCCACGGTCCGGCCCTCCTCCCCTGGGTCTGGTGAAGGACCCCAGGGTGAGTGTGGTGGCTGGCCATCCCCAAACGAAAGAAGGGCAGAAATCCTGCACGAGTTACGGTGTCTGTGCTCCCAAAAAGGTACTTTGCTTCTCTTTTTTCTGCCTCTTTTTTTCTTAATTATTTTATTTATTTATTTGAGAGAGAGAATATGAGAGAGAGCACAAGATGGGGTAGGGTCCGAGCGAGAAGCAGACACCCAGCTGAGCAGGGAGCCCGATACGGGGCTCGATCCCAGGACTCCAGGATCATGACCCGAGCCGAAGGCAGTCACTTAACCAACTGAGCCACCCAGGCGCCCCTTCTTTCTGCCTCTTGATGGAGGCCAGATTTCAAGCAACATGCGACATCCACTGACATGTAAGCTCCAGGAGGACAGGAACTTGCCCAGCGTCTCTGTTGCAGCTCTAGAGCCTGAGACTGTGCCTGACGCACTGTGGGTTCTCAGGAATGGCGTGAATGGCGTGAATGGACGAGCAGACGCCCAGAGCCGAACTGGAGAGTCACTAAGATTCGTTTTTTGAAAATTAACTGTGGGAATTTTGAGGAAACAGCACATGGGCCACCTGTCTTTTCTCCTTCATCTCTCTTCCCACCTGGGAGAGAGGACCTGAACGAAAAAGTAGAGAAAAGACTAGCCTTCAAAGTCTCCTTGAATGCCTACAGCATCAATCCAAAAAAGAAGCAGGTTTCTGAAACTTAAGAAAAGGCTGAAACCCTCCCTAAAGAATCTTTTGACAACAGAAAACACCATCTGAGGATGTGGGTGCCTGGCTCATCGAAGGCCCTTGATGGGGCAGCGCTGATCGGCTGACCAAGGAAAGAAGCAGATCGCCAGCTTGAAGGCCAATGTGATTTTCCCTTTGACCAAATTTTGCCACCGGCTCTTCCTTAGGATTCAGAATGGCATTAATATATGGCCAATGTGATCTCATTTTGCCTTTTTATTTCCCCCCTCCGTGGCCCCTTTGCTTCAAGAGACACATGGGAAATATCAACCTGAGCCTTGTCCTGCCAAGGCAGACAGGTGTTGGTACACCCGTGCCAGGCTGCCCCACCATCTGGGCTCACCCTGAGGCCCTCGTGCCAGGTGGCTCACTGGTTCCAGGCTCTAGGTCCTCCATGGGATGCACTCCTCCTTGTCCAGAAGCTTCACCGCCATGGCCAAGACCCAACCCCAGACAATGCTGGGGCCTGTCACACAGGGAACCATCACTACTCCTGGGGACACGTTCCCCTCCCCCAACCTCATTCTTGATCCCGGACATTAAATATTTATGAGTTCTTTTTTAAAAAGCCACAAACCTCAAATAATGCAAGTTGTCTACCAGGCAGGGAGATTTCAAGACGATAAACATTATTTAGAAACACCATTATACGCTTCATATTGTGATGTGATTGGGCACCATATTAAAACCCGCCAAGGCTATTATACCTAATTTTTGTTTCAATTCAGGCAATATTGCCACTGCTTAATATGATTTCTATTTACTTTTTTCTATTGTTAGTATTTTATTGGGGTTGTGTCTGCTTTATCAAGCAGATCTCCTCTGAAAGGGAGGTCAGACTATGCTCAGACCTTGGGATTTTCTGTCCTCTCTCTTTTAAAGGGGTTTCCATTATATTCTGCTTGGTCTGAATTCACTCAAAAACCCTCAACGCTAGTACAAACTCTTTTTCTTTACTCTTGTCCAATTACAATATTTCTACCAGCACAGAGCCTGACAGCTTGATATTTAAGAGCTATATAAACTCTCATCATCTGGTTTTATGTTCCCGTTTTTCTATGGTACCGTTGGATTTGGGTGAATGCTACATAAAATGTGTGCATTGAAGGGTTTCAAATCAGGTTATCTCCTCCATCTATAAAAATTGAATTTTAAAGGTTATTTTAATTATAGGTTTAAACCCATGCACTATTAATGACAGGGGCAGCCTCCTCCACCAAAGCATTCACTCGCCTTCTCCCCAGGGTCGCGGCCAAGCTGGGCTATCCTGTTATTTCCTGAACGAAATGTAATTTTGCAAAACAGGATATTATTTTTTAAAGCATTGTGCACTTTGCATAACTCTCTCTTCCTGGACCGGCCCAGGGAGGTGGTGGTATAGGGGGATTCAGGACTCTGCCCGCCGAACAAGGCCCGCCTTTACATGACCCATAGGAATCTTTCCTTATCCCAAGTGTGAAGGAAGAGATTAGATCAATTTCCCAGCTCCTTTAAGCTACATCTAACCCATCCGACTGCCTGCAAATCAGACAAGGATGTCACACTGCTCAATAATTTGGAGGAAAAAAATTATGAATCAAGTAAGTAAAATCCAAATTTCAAACCCTATTTCTTCAGGTTGCAATCTAAACTCCTTTAGTTTAAGGGGGGGGGGGGGAACCATTCTTATGTGGGCTCCTAGACTCCAAGTTTCTAAACGTGTTATTGAAGCCGTGATTGAAATCTGACAAAAACAGACTGCGTTTTATAATAATGTCCCGCAGCCAAAGTATGGCACCAATAACTAAACAATACTTTATCACCTTTGCCACTTTCAACAGCTCCCATTAATATTGAGATCATAGTGTTCGGCCCTCTATTCCCCAGCTGACTGCGTTAGTGACAGCACGGGCTA